TTGCAGTCCAGTTGCTCGAGTAAATTACACATAGTGTTGTATGAGGATGCAGAAAGGTGGTTAACTGATTTTTTTCTATTCTAAACCCCTGATAGATAAACCGTGTGCTTCTAACCTACTTTGTTTCCTGGTAACTTCAGTGTGAACAACACTGACTAACTGCTATATCTCAATAGTGTTTTCTAAGTCTAACAACAATTTATCATGAAGCCATTGGAAGTATATTAGGCAACAAAAAGCATCACATGCCTTTGCTTGTGTGAGAAGCACTCTGCCTCCAAAGAAGCAAGAATCCACACATTCCTACTTTAGAAACAAAATTGGGCAGCAGATTTCTTAATTACAAAGAAGTGTTGACATTTTGAAGCACTTTCATTGTATGCAGATTATAGTTCATTTACTGTCCCTTTCCTTTTCCCGAGAACCACCCAAATGCACTAAAGTCACAATTTTGGACTTGGTGCGTCATTCAGTTGGGTTATAAATTGTAATTAAAAAACATTGCATGTCCATGATTTTGTTTTATCTCTAAGATAATACAGTTTATACTTTTAGGTTTTGATTTTGTTGTGCAGTTCCACAACTTAAAAACTATTCTAAAGGCAGTGTTTTACATCAAAAATGCCCGTGGGAAAACCTGGGAATATCAAGCTTGCTGAATAAAATATTTACTGTATTTGTTCACAGTGTTACAAAAATCATGGTTAAGAAATGACTGCATTAGATTTATTATTCTTCCGTAGTAGTTTTCATATGCTTAAGGTTGATAACAAAACTTTAAAACAAAACATTAAATAAATAAACTGTTAAATACCAATTACCCAGATTATCCAACAAAACATGAAGCTCTTACCACCACTCTGATCCACAGATCCATGATTGAGATGTTATTTATTAACATTGCAGTGTTTGTTGCATCTATGCCCATGTAATTTCAGGTTGGTAGTATGTTCCAATGTTTTATTTATGTATTCCTCTTTAATGTAGTTTATCGTTTGCATTCTCAGGCGCTGACAGCACCACCATCCATGGTTGCAGACTCTACCTTGCTAAGTCAGTCCGGAACCCTGGGGTCTTGTTTGACCCTCAACAACAACAAAAACAACAAGATTACATTTGTATAGTGCCTTTCACTTTAGGAGGACGTCTCAAGGCGAGGGACAGTGTATAGCATTTCAGAGCCGATTATCAACTATCCTTTCTGCCCCACATCTGTGCCATGACCCACCCTGCCTTCCCCCACCTCCGCAACATCGCCCGTGTCTGCCACTGTCTCACACCACAGGCCTCCAAAACCCTCATACCTCCACGGTCTTTCTCCTCCCCTACCTCTGCGATCTCCTAACCCTACCATCCTGTTGCTCCCTCCGCTCAGTGGGCTCCAGCCTGCTTCACTTCCCCTGCCTCGCTCACTTCATTTTTGGTGGGCGGGCCTTCCGCCACTCTGCCCCCACCCTCTGGAACTCCATCCCTCCACCTCGCCCTCTCCCTTGCCTCCTTCAAGACCCATCTCAAGACCCTCCTCTTTGACTGTGCTTTCGATCTCCCTGCTTCCCCCCCTTGCCCTCCACCCTCCCTGACCCCGACACCCAGCTCGGGTCCGTAACTCTGTCTGTCCAGCGTCTTGGGACATCCTCCCGCTGTGAAAGGCACTTTACAAGTGTAATTTTCTTGTTGTTGTTGTCTTACGTGTTCAGGGGAGTTAATATTATTGTGAATAAAACTATTGTTCCAGCTAAAGAGTTCTTTCAAACATGTTGAAAAGTGTGAATTTTAATATATTCAAATCAAAATTCAAATTGAATCTGCTACTTGGAGAATAATTGTCTGAGATCGTTTTTCCAATAATTATCATGAAAGAAAATTAGCCCTATACTGTATACTGCAGTGTGTGTTTGCCATTCCTACTTCAGGATATTGGCAAGTATTTAAGAATGCCCCATAAAAACGTCAAGGGGGCTCAGATTAGTCTAACGTTGGAAACAAACATCTTGTAGCCAGCCATACAACTCAAAGATTTAGAAAGGGCTTCACATCTGGAACCAAATCTGGAATACTAATGCAGGAAAATACACAAACAAACCAATATGGAATACCTAGGGGCCAACGTAATTCAAAACATGACACTAAATTTGTTGAAAAGACACTAGTTTAAGATAGTGTGTCCAGTAAACTTCTAATTTTTAATGGCGGAAATTTCAAACTGTGTGGTTGGTATTTAAATGCAATCAGTGTTTTTATAACTTTTTTATAATTATGATGATTGTTCTTTGTCATTGAACCCACGGTTTCAATTACTTTTAAAATCAAGTCACAGAAAGACAAAGAATAATAATACTTGCATTCGATATAGCACCTTATCATGCCTTCAAGACTTCTCAAAGGGCTTCACAGAATATACTGTTAAGTGAATTGACTGTATATTTTGTGGGTGAAATGTGGCCACATTTAAAAATATAAAAAGTGCCGCATTTACACAGCTCCTTCATATCCTCCCAGTATCAATAGCCTCCATCCCTGCCCTGCCAATTCAAAACATCTAATCAACGAGTATCACGTCAGTCCCAGAGCAAGCTGTTACACAAACAAAACACTTTAAGAAGAGGTTACTTTGTACGTAGGAACAATGTTTAGAAATGTACAACAACAAAGTTGCATGTTAGCTGATTTAGCTTTCAATTATTGTTGTGATCCTACAAAAGATATTTTCAAAAAGGTAATTTAGCTATTACTAAACATGTCTGTGGTTTTTGATGATTTTTACAATGATTTTAAGGACTTTTGACATGTATGCATGAATAATCCATTATTTCCCCAAATGAACCATGACAAAGTGACAGCCTGAGTCACTGCGATTAAGGATTAAGCATATATATATAGGATTTATTTCAAAACTGACCAAACCAACCTTGAAAAATATCTAATTCATGAGACATTGGTGATTATTTATGATGAAAAAACCTTCCAAAGAATAAATCTCCTATTGCACAATTGTTGGTGGTACTGTCACAGTCTGAGCAAATGTTGATGAAATTGCTCATCAAATTTGCCTTTAAATCAGCAAAGAGTTTAGGAACAAAGGTCATCCAGATAATCAAACCTATCTCATCAATTTGTTAATCATTGCAGAAATTTTGTTCCAAATTCCCTATCCATATTCCTTATATTCTTAATTTCCCTGAGTAGCAATATACAGGGAAACCTGGGTCAAATGTCATACTGACTGTGTTATAAGAGAGGTGTGGAAAATTGGCCAAATACCCTGTCACCACTGCTATTACACCCTGGAATTCCATATTTAGTGTTCTCTGGCAATGCATTCCACATTCAATCAGCAGATATTCACACTGCACACACTCAATTTCCCAGAGAACTTTAATTGAACAGATGTATAATTATGTAAATAGTGAAATAATCCAGAGTTCCAAGAACATGATCTACCTTTTGTAACTGTTCCCAGGTCTTAAATGTCATTCCGTTTACTGCTAAAGGCAAAAGACAACCACACCATATGAACACTGCAACTGTGATCTACTAAATAAAGATTGCTTTCCTTGTTTAATCGATGGTTGCTAATTATGCTGTTTATTAGTTAGATAAACAAAATCATTCAAGAAGCTGAAAAAAAATAGCACTTTGTACCCTGTATCTCTAACACTTCCCTTTGATGCGAGGCGCGTGGGCTGGGTCTAAGTAGCATTATCTGTCTCACGGCTGGAACTTCCAGTTTGAAGCTATTGCATGTTACAGTATTTGCTAAGAGGCACGTAAGGAGTCGTGTTCGTAGGTTAGTGTGCTCACCTCACAAGTGAGAGGAGCCGGGTTTGATCCTGAGTGGGGCGAAACCTTAGGCAAGTTTCCTTACTACAAATGCCTGTTTATCTAGCAATAAGTTGGAACCCAGTTGTTAGACGATTGGCAAATTGTTTTCCTGAGGCAATGGTTTCTCCCCGTGTAGTTAGCAAGTGGTCTAGTCTTCTCGAATATTCCTTGACACCAGGTTACAGTGCTTGCTGTGCATAGAGTGTGGTTGCTGTGTGGGCAGCAGCTTCTACATGATAAAGAAACTCACACATTGGGTGTTCACATTGGGTGAACGTCCATCTTCGGATACGAAGGACAATCAATACCGTTATTTGCCAAGAAAAAAAACAGATTTTGAAAATTTGAACATTTAGGTAATGTGGGAGATATTCTTTGATGTGGTTTGAAGCTGATCATTTAGAATGAAACAGCAATGCCAAAAGTACTAGGGTACAGCAATGGACTCAGGAGACTTGAACAACAAGTCACCTATGCTTTGATTACAGACCCAACATCCAGAAACCTTACACAAAAGATCCTTTAGAACAGTGGTGGTCAATCTTGGTTGGTCGGTCACCAAAAAAATAAATTTTCCTGATTGAATATTTATTGATTTATGCCATAAATTTGTGGGTGTTTCGCTTTGATACGTCGAGATGTGAAAAGCGCAATATCAAATGCAAGGATTATTATTATTTATCATTATTAAATACATAAACAAATCACATAAATGGATAAACAAATCAATATTCAAGGGTACGAGGAAAGAAAAATGAATGAGATTGGAATAGGAAGAATCTGCACTTCTGCATGGAATTCTATGTAAATGTTTGATTTTAAATTTAAATGATTTCTCGCTCATGAATCGCAGACTATTCAATTGCCCACAGTAACAAGTCATTTTTTAAAAATCTATAACAGCATACAGTAAAATAAGGTTCTACAAACACAATAGGATAGAAGAACCAAAGGACAGAGGATAAACTGAGGAATTTTCCAGCTAAATGTATCACAAATAGGCCTTGACATATCGAATATACTGCCACCTAGTGCTGCAAATACTGTAAAATATTGAAAATGGAGTACTAGTGGATTGGTTTTAAAGTTAAGAATATCAAAAACTTGCAGTTCAGTGCTAAAGGTAAGCTTAGCAGCCCTGACAAAAAAAACAAATGACATAATATCACAAATAAATATCTATAATTAATACAGTTTTAATAATGTTACAAAGCAAAATAGAAACAAAACCATTTTTTCCAAAGATATACAAATTTGTAAACATTTATGACCTTAGCAATAGGTTATAGACTTGATCCAACAATTTGCATGATCTTCAATGAGTTTTTAAAAAAAAAATTAAAATACATTGATGGCATATTACAAGTCTGAGCATGACTACTGACACAAATGAAAAATAAATTACTCATCTTAATACAGGTTCAGAAATGATAAATTCTGTCTATGTGTTAATCGCCAAACATAGCTGAATAGGTAGTTTTCAGAAGCCGCACATAACTTTGGATGCTTTGATTCCGACTCTCAGATTGTTCAAGACAAAGTTTTAATTCCTGAAGATTCATGTCATAACCTTTTTCAGCCTGTAATATAAAGGATTAAGATTATTTCTGTATAGAGCAGCAGAATTTCTCTAGTAATCATTAAGTTTACTGATATCAGAGTGATTTAATGTGCTCTTCCCCACTTCCTAAAAGCTAAATGGCCATTTCTCACCGCCCTGTTAATATTTTTCACAATAGACTCCAAAAGAGGAATATTCATTTATTCGCTTCAACCTCTGACTCTTGTTCTCCGTTGCTTGGCTTGAGACATTGTCTACCCAAGCTCTCAAAACACAGTATACATACAAAACCCCAAATGCACAGTCCCTGGACATTATAGTACGTTTTGTGAAGCACCTTGAGACGTCTTCCCAGTGTGAAAGGCTCTATACCAAATACAAGGATTAGTATTATTTTCAATAAGTGTAGATTTATGCAAGCAAAGTGTAGATATGAATGGATGCTAACATATATAATGGTTCAATAGCTATTCTGCCAAGCACAGGGGGAATAAAGAATGTTTTTTTCCAAACAATTATTTTAAAACATGTGGTAATCATTTAATGGGTTTGATGTTAATCACTCCTTGTAATAACTGACTTTTTAAGCAAACAAAGTAGGCTCTAGGAGTCCATGCTAAATGCAACCCACAAATATGTAGCAATTATACCACAAAATATATTAATGCAATATGTATGTTTTTGTATAAAGGAATTCACATCATGAAGCCTTTCACCATGTTTTCTTGTGTGAAATTCAATCTTCATGACTTTAAAATAATACTTTCACAAACATTGTGGTGTCTTGCACAGCAGGTATCAGTGAAGCAGTGGATCTTGATCTCAGCTGCATTGCTAACACAAACAGAGGTCCCAAACAGGAACATGTTGCCTTGCATTTCCTGGAAGATGGCACTCAAGTCAACACAAGTGGAGATTTCCTGCTATTAGTCAATTGATTGCCCTGGAAGGCTTTATAACACCTATATTAAAGATTAATACAACCCTCGTTGGTCATACAGATGCTAGAATAGATCCACCTACTTTTTTGTTTTCTAGACCTTGCTCTCTTTGAGCTTTTATTTGTCTCATTCCCTTCCTTTTGATGAACAACCGACTTTCAACCTATTTTGCGAATTCAGCCGTAATCTGTTGCTTTCTTACATGCAAACCAAAAGTCTCGAGCACAATCTGGCCCTCTCAGCAAACATCCTCTCATAGCGTCTTCCTCCTAATATGGCCCAAAACGCCATCTCTGCCAATACCTTCCAACAATCTCCAACAGCAGTGGAGGGCAAACAAATGCGAAGGTGAAGCTTCCTTCTTATGTTTATTAGATTGAATCAGATTAGAATAATATATTAAATTACAAGCGAATAAGCCTTATCAAACAGCTGAAACCTGACTGTTCAGCACTTTGGGACGTCCTCCCGACGTGAAAGGCTCTCTATAAATGTAATTTTGTTGTTGAAACCCTGAAAGTGAAACTGTTGTGCAAATGAACGAACAAAAGGATCCATTTCACCTGACAGAGACTCACATATTTGTTGTTGTGCTGAAGCAGTTTCAGTTCCTTTGCCTTTCTGCTGAACTCGGTTTCCAGACCAAGTATTTTGTTTTGAAGAACACGCTCTCTGGCTACAGCCTGATCTTTTACCTCACTGACCTGTAAATCGAACAGTAGGTAGAAATAATGGTGAACATACGATGATATGTAAGATAAAATTCATTACTTTTTCAAAAAAAACCTGGTTGTCTTTTTGGAATAAATCTTGTCTTTATAACCCAAGGTTAGAATTCAACTGCAATGCTAGTATTTAACACTATTCCTACTGAAGCAACCAAGAGCACATACCTTTTTTCGAACATCATGTAATGCAGCTTCCAATTGACGGCTGAGCGCTGAAGATTCTCTCGTCCTCTCTTCTACTTGTTTTGTACTGAGCTGAAGTGCTCCTTCTTGTTTGATTACAGTGTCTGCAAGCTCTTGATTTTGCAAATCAACCTCTTTTAGTTTCCTTGAAATAAATCATTTAAACATAGATGAGCAGTTTGAAAGTTTTAAAAGAAAAGTGAGCATTCCTTGCAAAAAAAAAGAAGACCCACTGTATTATTTGTTCCTTTACCTTTGCAAAATCCTGAATGAACTGACAAGAAAAGCCTTTCAGCCAAAGTGACGTTAATTTGTTTAGACTTTTCAAACTCATCTCCTTGAATCCTTCAGTGGTCATGAGATCCTCAAATTCTATCCATATACATGTAAAGTGGTGAGGAGGAAATATAATGATCTTACATTGATTCTATCTATTCTACATTAAAAAAAATTTGGTCACTCAATCCATGACTGTTTGTGGGACACTGCTGTGCACAATTGGCTGCCACGCTTTGCCCACAAATATACAGTCAATTCACTTTATAGTATATTCTGTGAAGCACTTTCAGACGTCTAGAAGATGTGAAAAGCGCTATATCAAATGCAAGGGTTATTATTATTATTTATATTGCAGCACTGCATTCAGGTATTCCTGTTGATCTAATTTCTCTCAAATTTCATATTGTGTGACACAAACCAATTTTGAGTGCTTTCGCACTAAATAAATACCTCGAAAACAGGACTAAAAGATGCATTTTATAACTCTGTAGTTGTGGATGTATATCCTTAAACAGATAAATCCTTAAACCTGACAAATGTAATGGGCAATGATTCAGTTCTAAGCTGGTTCCTATAGTGGGCGGCTGCACAACCCCATTCAAACTGTTTTTTTTTCATTCCTCCCAACTGAAGAAGAATCAGTGTGGAAAATAAAAGGAGGAGAAAATACCTACATCAAAATCAACTTGGAGTTCAATACACACAGGAAAAAAAATTGTCAAAGTTAAAATCTGATGAAACATTACCGAGAAAGAACTTCAAATTTCATTTGTAGCTCATGCATTTCTTCACTCAAAGGCTCTCTCGTTTTCAAAGAGGATTTTAAACTCTGGATGTCAACCTGGAAAGTCAACAGATTTACAGTACTTTGACAAAGAAATCTACAATCCATTAACTGCAGTAAAATTACCGTGAAATAGAGCATTATATCAGAGACTAAACACCGGCAGGTAGGGCAAGCTAAGACTAGATAATAAAGTACAAAGAAATAATAAAGCTCCATACAAAGGAAACATGGGGTGGGGGGTGATGGATTTGGGTTTATATCTTAAAAGCCAAGTTGTTCCAGGAATGCACACACCATGCTTTGTACATAGTTTCCCAAATCATGTAGACTAGCATTGTACAAAAATACACAGCAACAGGAGCACAAGTACCATGTGAGAAATACTCATTCACATGCATATAGGGATGCATATAGCAATGGCTGGGTAGAGTAAGCATCAGAGATGGCTTCAACTAACTACAGTGTCAAAGTCCATTACCCAATGAAGGCATTTGCTTTTAACACTCAGCACCTTATTCTGCAGTTCAATCATTGATTTTGATTGATCAGAGAATCTTCTCTTGAGACACAGGAGGTTTTTCTCACACTCATACAGCCTATGTTCAGCTGCTTTCAGCAGCTCAGGAAAAGGTTTCAATTCCTTCAAACGTGGTTCCATTTCATCTTTCACCTGCGCATTGGGGGTTAACAGTAGTGAGTGGTGAGGGGGGGTGCAAAAGGTAGATGGTAAATGAATAAACCTGATAGGATCACCACTATATCACAATTCATATGGAAACCTCTATGGTGTACAACATAGCATTTTAAATGTACATGATATAATAAATAATCCTAATCAATAGGGAAAATAGGTTTGAACGACACAATGCTTTTCAGAACAGATGATCTGTAATGACAGTGAAGAGTGTAGCAATATTATTTGTTTTTGCTTCAACAGTGTATGTATGTAATTAACATGCCAGCAGCATATGTGGTATGCTTCATAGGAATTAATTGCTGACTTGTTGGCTGCAATACTGGCTCATTTTTTTCTTTAAATAGAACCAAACTTTGATGCTGTCTAAAGTAACTGGTGTAGCCATCAATAATGGGTAAAGCTGTTTAAGGGCGAACTGGAAGGAAAAAAACATCAGCATCAGTCAGTAAAAATATTGTGCTTATTTTACTGGTGAAAAGAACACAAGTAAAATTTGGCTTTTAAAGAAGCAGAATAATGCCATTTTCAAATTGAGATTGTTTTTAAATTTCTTCTAAGAACTGGTTGTATAAAAATATAGCAATGGAATCATCATTTTTGTGACGTTTTAAACTTGGTAACATCAAACAACCAACAATTCAGTGAAACCTGAATCTTTAAGTAGAGTGTTCAAAGGAAAAAGCAATTATAGTTAGGCTCATTTCTGCCCAAGCCAATATACTTGTCAACAGGAGTTCTAGGTAATTTAATTCCTTCTAATGTTGAAAAACAAGTTTAATAGAATTACCCTCAAACAATTAAGATAAAAAGGGTTTAGCTTTTCCTCAACACAGTGCACTGAACATTAATGATTTGTTTTTGAGTCGCCTAAAGTTTTCACCCTCTATGAAAATATGTACATTAATGTTAGACATTAATGTTAGACATAAATACACAGAAAATGCTTGTGAATATACCCTTTTAGTTTCCATCAGCCTCACATCTTTTAGCTGATGATTTTCTTTGGTAGTCTTTCCAAGTTTCGCCTCCAAATCTTCAGTTGTTGTTTGCAATAACTGGACCTGGGGTTGCAGGGGAAAGTGCATTAACTTTCTGTCTCCCATCATTTTGTAATTTGCAGAATATATGCTTTTTCCAATCACAAACTCTCTAAATTATAGAACAAGTAAAATGTAAAGATGGAATGAAGGAAGAGATAAAGATTTTCTAAAGCAGAAATGCTTTTCCTTTCCCCACACAAGCCAATGTTATCTCATTAAGCAAGATTGATGAAATAATGAAAGCAAATTGAATACTTTTTTCAGTAGAAACGCTCTCACTGTCACTCTCATTGAGATCAGCTAAATGAATATAAATAGAGAATTCAACCTAGGATGACCTTAGTCTGTGTAGCTCAGCATTATACCAGATGATGCATTTCGTTTGATTAAAAATTGCCTTTAAAGAAGGATTTTTATAACTATCAATTTAGTTTGGTTCCAAAGCCAGTTCTTGCAGGTGAATATCAAGCTGAAATGTGGATTGGATGTCAGAGATGGAGTTTGGGATGAAAATGAATTATCAAGTAAAACCTTCAGGAGCTTGGTCAAATGCACCATTAGCAATGCCCAAATTTACTATGCCGCCAAGTCCATTTAAAAGATCTCTTAAAGGGATTCTATAATCTTCCGGAGAGGTAAATGTTCATAACATTTTGCATTGTAGCTTATCAAAGTGGTTTGTTTACCTGCATTTCATACTGTGCAACAGCCTCTTCCTGCTGTTTGGCTTCATCTTTCATCTTCTCCAGTTCAGTTTCAGTAAGAGCTGTCTTTTCTTCTAATGCTGCTATTGAAGCCTGTGAAAGGCATTGCAGTGATCATTTTGCCAAAAGAACTCATGGCCAGTACAGTGAAATCCACCTATACTTAAATCAACCAATACACAAGTCATATTAAACTCAGTCTCACTCAAAGCATGAGGGACGGGTTCAACCCAAAACACATTTGGGCAGAAAAAAGGGAAAACAACAACAACAACAAGATTCCATTTATTGAGCGCCTTTCACGTCGGGAGGACGTCCCAAGGCGCTGTACAGTTGGGTCAGGACCCGAGCAGGGGGGAAATGGTCAGGGTGAGGGGAGGGAAGGGAGGGAGCGAGGAGGGGGTAGAGAGTCGAGAAGGGAGCTGAAGGCACGGTCAAAGAGAAAGGTCTTGAGCCTGGCCTTGAAGGAGGAAAGGGAGGAGGCAAGGCGAAGGCACTCGGGGATAGAGTTCCAGAGCCTAGGGGCTGAGAGGCTGAAGGCCCGGCCACCGATAGTAGGGCGGTTGGGGCGGGGGATGTGGAGCAGACTGGAGCCAGAGGAACGGCGGGTACGGGCGGGTAGGTAGGGGAATAGTAGGTTGGAGAGGTAGGAGGGAGCAAGGCTGTGAATGGCCTTGTAGGTGAGGATCTTGAATTCGATCCTCTGGGGGATGGGGAGCCAGTGGAGGCGAGCGAGGGTGGGAGTGATGTGTTCCCGAAGCCTGGTGCGGGACAGTACACGAGCTGCAGAGTTCTGAATGACCTGCAGTGTGGAGGGAGGTGCCGGGAAGGCGGCAAGGAGAGAGTTCCCATAGTCCAGCCTTGAGGTGATAAAGGCGTGGACCAGAGTTTCAGCAGAGTGAGGGGTGAGGTAGTGGAAACGAAGCTGGGAAGCGACGACTCGCTCTCAGACCTTGGAAATAAAGTAGAAAGATAGAGACAGTGGGCTTCATTTGGGAGCAGGTGGTCGGCTTCATTTGGGAGATGATGGTATAACTTGCAATGGATACTGAACCAGTTTGCTAGCTCACTTGTTAAACAGAAACTGGCATAGCAATATTCAAGTTCTGACCGAGCAGCTAAATCAGAGACAGATAAAGCAAATGCATACTAGGAATTCCCCTTACACCACAGTTTACTTTGTACGAAGTTCGAAAATCAGAACAGTTCAAGGCTAAAAGATGCCACTGAACTTGCAGACTTATGGTGCTGGGTGCTAAAAGCAGATCAATTCCCTCTTAAAACAGAGACACAAGATTCTCTGAATACAATATTTATTCCACGAGTGAAGGAAATTACATAAAATGAATGGCTGCCAGAACCACAAACCGTTTGTACAAGCTTCCTTCACTCATAAAATAAATTTCAACAATCTTGAATTCAATAATCTATGTTAGGTTATAATGACAGTGCGAGTTTACATTATCAGCAAAATTGAGCGCACTATCTGCACTGGTTAATATGTTACAAAGAAGCAGTCAGTGAACTTCCCCATTGCAGCTAAGATATTTCTGTGTATTTTTGAAAATAAGATTATTAAAGCAAATGGATATTCCCCACCTCCCACCCACTGCAGGTTTAAGAAGTGGAAGACAGTAATGAAAGACAATAACAAGAAGATTATATTTGTATAGCGCCTTTCACGTCGGGAGAACGTCCCAAGGAGCAGATTAAAAAACATAAGAATATTATACCTTCAGTTGTGCATTTTTCAGGTTTAAATTGTAGTTTTCAAAGTTGCTGGTTTGTAACTTCTCCACTAGTTCGCTGTTCGGCACGACAGCGCTTACTGTAGTACCCTGAAGCTGCTCCTCCAGACCAGCCACCTTACTGTGTATTAGAATGAAAATAGATTATAATCCCCGACTTCTACAACAAAGAGATTAGTAATGCACAGTGGTTTCTGGTTAGAATCCCCAAATACAATAAAAAGCACGCTTACTCTTGAAGGGAAACTATCTCGGTCTCCAACAGGGTTTTGTCCTCAACAGCCGTCTCGTGTTGTTTCTTCCAGCTGTCCAGAGCTAAACGGGCTTCCGATAATTTCACATCCTAAACATTTTATGGAACATTATAAAATAATCCTCACTGTGCGACAGCAGGTCACCAACTTAACATCGATCTCTCAAAAGGCTATTGTCCATATTGGAATTAAATCCATAAGAACAAAAGGCCCTCGCTCAGAGGAGAAAGTTAAACTAAAGTGTGTGCTAATGCAGTCTCCATTCTTAGAGCTGCATTGCTTAAGGCAACATCTTTTCTATTTAAATTCTTTGTCCAGTGAATATCTGGAAGGCCATCTCCCTCACACCATCGGTGTCTAACCCCATCTCTGTGAAGCAATCTGAGACATTGCCATACTTGAAGGGAGCTATATAAATACAAGTTGTTGTTGTTGTACCTTGTCATTGAGCTGAGAAGTAAGGTTTGCAATAGTAGCTTCAAACCGTTCTGCTCTCCGTTTTTGGGCTCGTGTAGCCTTCTTCAGACCCTCCTTGTCTTCTTCAGCCTTCTCCTTCACAGTCGATAACTGAGATTTAAGGTTCTCAATCTGCAGGTTTTGGTCAATTACTGTCCTCTCTAGCCCCTGTAAGGATACGTTTTGCCCACAAAAAAATACAATCAATCCACATTACAGTATATTCTGTGAAGCGCTTTGAGATGTCTCGAAGACATGATAGGGCGCTATATCAATGGCAAGGATTGTTATGATTACATCAAACCTTGATATTTTCCAGAGTGTCCACTAGGTGTCGTTAGACTGTATAGTTTCAAAGAGGGATTAAAAATATTAAAGAGCATAAAGGATGGGTCCTAGAGTAAGAGATCACAACAATTTTTACAATAAGATATTTGATACGGTTTTGACAGGAAAATGTTTAAATACCATTACCTGCAAGTTACATCTGACCCGAGTATTTAAACAACCTTAGCTGAAGAGATTTTTTAATTCTATTTGAGGGTCTAACACGCAGTTTAAAGTATTGAGTAGAAATTACTCATACTTACCACAATTTGAACTGACAACCTATTGTTCTCAGCCTCCTTATTTCTAAGTTGACCTTGAAGATGGGCTCGAGTTGCTTCTACAGATTTTGACATTTGCTTTGCACAATCAGAATTATCCTGCAAACACAAAACAGTTTTTTTTTAAATCAGTAATTTGTATTTTTACATTTAGAAAAAAAGATTTTATTAAATTACTCAATCATCTTTTACCTTTTCCATCTGGTACAGTTCTGAGAGCTCTTTCACACTTCTCTCTGTCTCCAGGAACTTTCTTTTTAAAAGCTATAAAATGGATTCAGTACAAGATTTAGGTGGTCCAAATGGCCTGTTTCTGTGTTGTAACTATCTGCAATTAATTCTATGTAAATAGGAAACAAAATATTTTTGTGCAAATGTAATGTTTAATTAGGAACCATATTTATTTAGTCATTTCATAATTGACACAATACTTACATTATTTTCAATTTCACTTCTGGTCAGCTTGTGTATCAACATGTCTATCTGTCTGTTGGTATAATCCAGATTGAGCTGTAAAGGGAAAAAAAGACCGGAATATGAATGCTTACTTTATTTTAAAGTTTCGGGAGGTGGAGGGGACAGGAAAAGAGAGAGAGGAAGTGTAGATAATATTTTAAGAACATTCAATAAAACAAAATTAAAGAACTAAAATAGCAGCAGTATTAATGAGACAATTTCCAGGTAATTAATTTATTTTTAGTTAGGATCTGTCTGCATTTTTATAGCAAACCACCCACTTTATACACAATAAAATGTTAGTTTGCATGTTGTTGCAAATATTAATCATGCTTGCCCCAAATCATCATACTGTATTTGTATTTATATTTTCTCTTACTTCTGGACTCCACAAATCTCGGAGCAGATGTTGTAGTGTTCGGTTTGTGGTCTTAAAACTCTCCAGTTTCTCCAACAAGTCTTTTCCCCCAGTGATTGTGCGGAGCCCTGAAGCTGAAACTCGATTCTCCTACAATGCCAACAAAAAGACACATTGATAACTAACAGCTGAGCATGTCCACTCGGTACATTCAGCACTGTGGACCCATTCCTATAAGAGCAAGACTGAGAAACCCAAATTGATTCCAAGCCTTTAAAAGCAGGTACATTTTGTAGGCAAACACAGCAGCCAATCTGCAAATAGCAACGTCTACAAATACACATGATGTGAAAGACTAATAGGAACTGAAGGATTTTCAGTCAGGGCACAGGTAGAAATACCCTTTTCTCTTTTTGGATAGTGCCATGGGATCTTTAACATCCATCCAATCAGGCAGCTGGGACCTCAGATTAATGTCTCAACCAAAGGAGGGCATCTCCAACAATACAGCAGCCCCCTCCCCTCCCCCAGTACCTCATCAGAGTGTCAGCATAGTGTATGGGGTCAAGGTGAGTTGGGGCTTGAATCCACAATCTTTTAATTCAGAGGTGAGATGGCCACCAACTGAGCCAGGCTACTGACACCATAACTAGTGAAAATTTAAAATGAATGTAAAAAGTCGCAGTTTGATCGATAAACTAGCAGTGAGCTTAGATCAACCTTAGGTCACAGAATTCTGAAAAGTTGCTGTGACAGATGTAAGGGTTATTCTCTTGTTAATATCTGCTTTGAGAATATACGTAGTCGACTATATTGTCCATTTATTTGTTATCTGTATTGAAATGCTTCACTTTTACTTACGTGCATTAAGTCAGCTATGGCGTTCTCAAATGTAGCAACCTGTATTGCAGCAGACATTGACGCCACCTCAGCTTCAGCAAGTGCCTGCAATAAAAGGTTGTCCTCATCACGCTCTTCCTTCTGTAATCTAACAATCGGTAAAAGCTACATTAAAGGTTTACAACTGTGTATTTGTTTGGAATACACAATCTTGTTAATTACAGATAAAGTGGCAGGGAACAAAGTGAAATATACATCAATAAAGTCAACTGTAAATCCTACACTGGCTGGCACGGAACATATAAGATAGTCTTATCTTAAAACCATCATGAAATGGATCACAATAAATGGTATTCAGAGGAGGGAGCGAGATGGAGGGAGTGAGTAAGGCAGTTCCAGAGCCTCGGGCCATAGTGGCTGAAGGCACGGCCGCCGAGGGTGGAGGGGAGGACTCGGGGGACGAGGAGGAGGCCAGACCCAGAGGAACGAAGGCAACGGGTACTATTTTGAGGACAGAGGAGGTCAGAGAGGTAAGGGGAGTGCAGAGGAGTGCAGGGACTTGAATACAAGGGTGAAGATCTTGAAATAAAAAAAATGTTCAATTGTACAAATATTGAACAGGATTAACAGTTTGCAAATACAGTGAATGAGGCTGGGTGAGGTGCATCATAAATAACTATATTGTCAATGATTGATAACTGAGTTAATGAAAAGGATAGTCTTAATCTTGCATTTTCAAATGGGGGGAATGTCTCAAAGTGCTTCATAGAAATACTGTATACTGTAAAGTGTATTGATTCGCCTCGCTTCCTCCCTTGCATCCTTCAAGGCCGGTCTCAAGACCCTTCTCTTCGACCATGCCTTTGGTCTCCCTCCCACCTCTCTGCCTTCCCTCATCCCTACACCACCCTTCTCCCATGCTCGGGCCCCGACATCTGACTGTTCAGCGCTTTGGGACGTCCTCCCGACGTGAAAGGAGCTCTATAAATGTAATTTTGTTGCTGTTGTTGATTGTAGTATTGTTTGGGCAAACATAAAATTCATAAATTATTCCAGAATAGATTAACTAATCCGTTTCACGCCTGTGGTTTTGGAGAATTAAAAAGAAAAGCCAGAAATTGAGCAAACTAGAAATATTTTTCAATAACCGTAAAGGATACGTTTCCACTAATTAAGGGATAAGACTTGTAACACTTAGAACCATTACGTGTTTCTGTTTAATCTTGTGTAGGAATGGACCATGAAAATGTGGTGCCCACAGAGATCAATCTGTTAATAAAATTGATGGTTAAAATTGTCAATGGCAGCAGGAATGTCAAGTGAGATGAGAAAGGACAGCAAACCCAGGAGCAGTCAGAGAGAATGTCATTGGTGGCTTTGACTAGGCCGATATAAGTTGCTGTGGGCAGTTTGGAGTTGGTTTGCAGGGTCTCAAACAGGAAAAAGTGAGTATTGTGAGTCCCTTTGGATGACAACCACACATTCTAAAACCTTAAGAAAAAAGGACACGTTAGATACAGGCGAGCTCCCTAACAATATTGCATTATGAAGAGTGGTAATAGAGAAAGCAGGGCTCAAAAGAAAGGACATGTGAAAATGACAAGTGGTGCCATATATTTAGTCTAGAGTGTCCTGTACAGTATAGAACAATTTATATAAGCGGCCTTTGCCAAAGTAAATCATAGTACAGCCATAAACAGCCATGACATTGGCTGGAAAAGTAGCCATTTTAATACAGCTAAATCCCAAGCATGTCTGCAGACACAATTCCATATTGTTAAGAATTACTGTTACGCAATTTAAGCAAAATGATTTCATTGAGTGAATAAAGACAGCAAGTTGTGTACTTGTGTTACTTGAGCGGTTACCTCCTTTGGTCCAACTCTTTCTGTAACTTTTCAAAACTCTCCCGAAGATTCCTATTTTCAGATGTAGTTCTTGCTAGCTCCTGTGATAGATCTGACAATTCTTCTCCATAGTCTTTCAAAGCTTTGTTTGACAGATTAAATGTATCTTTGTTATCATGTTCCTCTGACTGTTTGATTTTCTTGTGACCTGGTAACTAAACACAACAATAACGTTTAGCTGGTAAACTTATTTGTTTTAAATCCAAAAGCTCAAACTGGGCTACATAATAATCCTTACGTTTGATACAACACCTTATCACATCTTCGAGACGTCTCAAAGCACTTCACAGAATATACTGTAAACTTGAATTGACTATGTTTTGTGGGCGAAATGCAGCAGGCAATTGCGCACAGCAGTGTCCCACAAACAGTCATGGATTGAGTTACCAAATTATTTTTATTTATTTTAAAGGAATTATTACCCCCAGAAAAGCGATCCACCAATCGACTAACAACCAGGTTTCTGCTTACTGCTCGGTGAACAGAGGCATGTGCAGTAGATAAACTTCCCCATCATTTAATCCTACCAGGAATCAAACCCAGGTATTTTACTAACCACTACAGGACTATGTAGAATATGGAAGGAAATGTAAGCGGCAGAACATTATCTGTTCTTACTTCACTTTTCAGACTTTCCAAATCTTCCATCAAGCTGTCAATCTGCTTTTCATATTGATCCATTCGTTCACGAATGTTGACTTTGTGATCAACACTTGCTTCACTGGAATGGAGAACCAAATAGATCGTTTCTGCCTCCTGTGGAGTGACTGCTGTTTCTTGTGTTGGTTCCTTACAATATTAAAAGAATACATTGTGAAAATGGTATTAGACAGACATAGTTACCTATTGGAATTGTAACCTTTTAAAAGCATTTATAAGCATATATATCTCCGGAGTATCAACCAAAAGTTTGCCTCCTTCTCTCCCCCAAGAAGATAAGTCACGATTCCGTTAAAAGTCTTGCAGGATACAACAAGACATTCGGTTCAGTCCTGCAAGGGGCGATTTCAGGACAGACACCAGATAGTTTTATTACCCAGAGAGTAGTCAGCCATTGGGAAACTATAATAATAATAATCCTTGCATTTGATATAGTGCTTTTCACGTCGGGAGGACGTCCCAAAGCGCTTCACAGAACACACCGTAAAGTGAATTGACTGTATATTTGTAGGCGAACGCGGCAGCCAATTGCGCACAGCAATGTCCCACAAACAGCCGTGGATGGAAAATGACCAATTTATTATTGTTTTGGGTTTTGAAGGGATTATTATTAGGCTCTGCGTGGAGTAAGGAAACTTGCCCAAGGTTTCGCCCTCTGCCTGGAATTGAACTCGGGTCTCTCGCTTGCAAAGCGAGTGCTCTAACCACTGAGCTACAGGACTCCACTACGGCCAGGAAGGGTGGTCAATCCCAGGACACCGGGTTTAGCAGGATATGGTGATGGGAGATGAGGGTGGGGATCCTGGAAGAATGAAAGCTGACGGGCCGAGAGCACGCTTCCTCACCTGGACTAATCTTTGTGGGCTACTTTTGTGGAAAGTTTTAGAATTCGTGCGAGGAAGAAGCCGACCAGCGAGGGGGGGGGGGGGGGGGGGGGGGGGGGGGTTTGCAGGAACTCCTGATCTTCAACGTGTCTCTCAAACTTGGTACAAATAAGGTTACATTCAATACACACACACACAGACACATTTAGAGTCAGTGCAACAGTATCGAGCTGTGACTGTCACACACACACACACCCCCACACACCACTACACACACCCCCACACTACACACACCCCCACACACACACCCCTCCACACTACACACCCCCCCACACTACACACACACCCACACTCTACACACACACCCACACACACCCCCACACTACACACCCCCACACTACACACACCCCCACACTATACACACTACACACCCCCACACTACACACCCCCACACTACACACACACACACTACACACACACACACACCCACACTACACACACACACTACACACACACACTACACACACACACACACTACACACACACCCTACACCCCCACAGCGGCTGCGGACAGAGAAAGTCACAGAGGCTGAGCCCTCACCCTCGGCTCTGGACGATCTGATCCTCTCAGCGTCACTCTCAGCTCAGCCATCGGCGGCTTAACTCTCCATCCACCCCCCACTCCAAACAGCAGCTGTGTTTTGGCTACAAAGACACGCTCGGCATGTGGGGGGGGGGGGGGGGGGGGGTGAAGGGTGGGGGTGAGGCTGGGGCTGAGTGGGAGTGGGGGGTGAGGCTGGGGGTGGGGGTGGGGCTGAGTGGTGGTGGGGGGTGGGGCTGAGGCTGAGGGTTGGGGGGTGAGGCTGGGGGTGGGGTGAGGGTGGGGGGGGTGTTTCTGGGGTGGGGGGTGAGGCTGGGGGTGGGGGGTGAGGCTGGGGGTGGGGGTGAGGCTGGGGGTGAGGGTGGGGGGGGGTGAGGGTGGGGGGGGGTGAGGGTGAGGCTGGGGGTGGGGCTGAGGCTCGGGGTGAGGCTCGGGGTGGGGGTGATGGTGAGGGTGGGGCTGAGGCTCGGGGTGAGGGTGGGGGTGGGGCTGAGGCTCGGGTGGGGGTGAAGGTGGGGGTGAGGGTGATGGTGGGGGTGAGGGTGGGGGTGATGGTGAGGGTGAGGGTGGGGCTGAGGCTCGGGTGAGGGTGGGGGTGAGGGTGGGGGTGGGGCTGAGGCTCGGGGTGAGGGTGGGGGTGGGGTGGGGGTGGGGGTGAGGGTGGGGGTGGGGGTGGGGGTGGGGGTGGACCCGCTGAGCTCCGCTGCTTTCGCTTTGGTTACCACTCGGTGACCTCAGCAGCTGTTGCCGACGCCAGAGACTGAGCAGCTCATTGGGCACTTTAAAATCTGGGCGCAGGCGGGAGGTCAGGGGATTGGACAAACCTCTCCCCCACACACCCCCCCCCCCCCACACACCCCCCCCCCCCCCCACACACACACACACCCCCACACACCCCCACACACACACAACACACCCCACAAACACTACCCCCCCACACACACACACCACCCCCCCCACACACACACCCCCCCACACACACACACCACCCCCCACACACACACCCCCCACACACACCCCCCACACACCCCCCCACCCCCCCACACCACACACCCCCCCCACACACACACCCCCCACACACACACACACCCCCCACACACACACAGACCCCCACACCCCCCCCCACACACACACACACCCCCACACACACACCCCCACACACACACCCCCACCCCCCCCACACACACACCCCCCACACACCCCCACCCCCCCCCCACACACACACCCCCCCACACACACACACCCCCCCCACACACAGCCCCCCCCCCCACACACCCCCCCCCACACACACACACACCCCCCCCACACACACACACACCCCCCCCACACACACACACACACACCCCCACACACACACACACACCCCCCACACACACACACACACACCCCACACACACACACACCCCCCCACACACACACACACACCCACACACACACCCACCCCCCCCCACACACACACACACCCACACCCCCCACACACACACCCACCCCCACACACACACCCACACACACCCCCCCCCCACACACCCCCCCCACACACACACACACACCCACACACCACACACACACACCCCCCCCCCCACACACACACACACACCCACACACACACACACCCCCACACACACACACACCCCAACACACACACACACCCCACACACACACACACACCCACACACCCACACACACACACCCACACACCCCCCCACACACACACACACCCACACACACACACACAACCCCCACACACACACCCCCCACACAACCCCCACACACACCCCCACACACACACCCACCCCCCCACACACACCCACCCCCCACACACACACAACCCCCACACCCCCCCACACACACACCCCCACACCCCCCCCACACACACAACCCCACACACACACACCCCCCACACACACACAACCCCCACACCCCCCCCCACACACACACACACCCACACACAATCCCCACACACACACACACACCCCCACACACAAACACCCCCCCACACACCCCCCCCCACACACAAACACCCCCCCACACACACACAACCCCCACACCCCCCACACATCCCCCACACAACCCCCCCCCACACACACACCCACCCCCCACACACACACACACCCCACCCCCCCCTCCCCCCCCCCACCACACCCCCCCCTCACACACACACACCCACACACACCCACCCCCCACCCACACACACACACCCCACCCCCCCAAACACACACACCCCCCACACCCACATACACCCCCGCACAGCTCTGGGTCCCCCCTCCCACACAGCTCTGGGTCCCCCCCCCCCGCACAGCTCTGGGTCCCCCCCGCACAGCTCTGCCCCCCCCCCCCCGCACAGCTCTGGGTCCCCCCCGCACAGCTCTGGGTCCACCCCCGCACAGCTCTGGGTCCCCCCCCGCACAGCTCTGGGTCCCCCCCCGCACAGCTCTGGGTCCCCCCGCACAGCTCTGGGTCCCCCCCCGCACAGCTCTGGGTCCCCCCCCGCACAGCTCTGGTCCCCCCCCCCCCCCCCCCGCACAGCTCCCCTGTGCCCAAAGCCCTTTCTGCCACAATCTCTTTCTGCAGATGTCATCACTTTGCACTGTGGACTGAACCTGCACAGAAGCTGCCGCATCAGTAATAATTATAGTAATCCTTGCCTTTGATACAGCTTATCACGTCGTTGAGATGTCTCAGAGCTCTTTGCAGAATAATAATAATATATAATAATCCTTGCATTTGATATAGCGCTTTTCACGTCGCGAGGACGTCCCAAAGCGCTTCACAGATACACTGTAAAGTGAATTGACTGTATATTTGTGGGCGAACGCGGCAGCCAATTGGGCACAGCAATGTCCCACAAACAGTCATGGATTGAAAATGACCAATTTATTATTGTTTTTGGTTTTGGAGGGATTATTATTAGGTGTGTGGAGTAAGGAAACTTGCCCAAGGTTTCGCCCTGCCTGGAATTGAACTCAGGTCTCTCACTTGCAAAGCGAGTGCTCTAACCACTGAGCTACAGGACTCCACAATATACTGTAAAGAATAAAGAATATACTGTAAAGTGAATGGACTGTATATTGTGTGGGCAAAACGGAGTAATTAACTACACACAGCAGTGTCCCATAAACAGTCAAGAATTGCGTGACCAATTATTGTAAATTTTTTGACGGGAATGTTACCCCTGGAGAGCGATCCATCAATCGACTAACAACCAGGTTCCTACTTACTACTCGGTAAACAGGGGCATGTGGAGTAAGGAAACTTGCCCAACGTTTCACCCTGCTCTGGAATCAAACTCGAGTACGAGACCCCAAAAAACGGCCACTGACTCAAAAAGCATCTTCACACTGAGCCCGTTGCGGCCTTCGGACACCACGTAACATCTCTCAGGAATTTCTGACTTATTTCCTTGAGCACAACAGTACGTTAAACCAAGGGACCTTTAAACGAATACCGGAACATTAAACCTGGTTGAGTTTTCTCACAACGCATTAAACCATTGAACGCACTCATCACCCGTTCCCGTGCAAACCGGTCATCTGACCCAGGTATAGGGGCGAAAGACTAATCGAACCATCTAGTAGCCAGTTCCCTCAGGATAGCTGGCGCACAGACACACCCAGTCTATCTGGTAAAGCGAATGATTAGAGAGTTCATGACTGGGACATTTGTTCATTGCAAAATCGCTGCAGCATTTGTCTACAAATATACTGTCACAACAGTTTACAGAAAATTCTGTGAAGCACGTTGAGATGTTTTGACCTAAGGCATTATATCAATACCAGGGATTATTAATTTTATTCTCAGGGACATATGGATTATATGGTATTATATGGATATATAGTAGATAGTGAAATTGATTTCCCAAAGTACTACAGGCACTAAAGCTCTCCTTACTACAGATCACTCCACAAGCATCAAAGTTTGTTGGTTTTGAGGTTTTTCCAACAATTTACAGAAAATTAAAAAGAATTGACATTGATGCAGCAATAATTGAAGGGAAGACCTCGTGAGTTATTTAACAATGATAGCAGATGGTTATGCAGACATCTGTGCTGATATTCTGTTTGGGTATCAAGTATGTCCTCAAGGTTAACAATCACTTTTTAATCCATTATTCTAACTATAATTTTGAAATCTTTATTTCACTGATGACAAGTCATTTCTGTACTTTATTTTTTTGTTAAAATCTGGGTAGCAGATTAGTGAGTTTTAGGAAAATAGAAGCAGGAAACCATTCAGCCCATTGACCCTTTGCCACCAGTTTATTAGATCTTGGCAGATCTTTCAATCCCAATGCCCTTTCCACATATTCCACAATATCGCTGAGTCAATTAAATACAAGGATGCTTGCAAACCACCTTTCACTTGGTGATACATGACAAACATAGAGGTAATTATCCAAAAGAAAGTCAAGCAAAGTGTAGAAAATATAGGAGGGAAACAAAAAAAAGTAATTAGGAAAGCCCCCAGAGGTTTTACTGATGAGGAGAGATTGGATGAATTGTGGCTGTTTTCCCTAGAACAAAGAAGGTTGAGAAGAGACCTGATGAAGATTGTTAAAATTATGATATTATGATTATTGCTCAAGCGCAAAATGCAAACCAGGAAACCAAAATATTTTTAAATATATAGATGTCTGAACTGTGGACTTGGTGGACCTGAATTATCAGTGTTATTTAACACTTGGGTGAATCACACAGGTGAATTATTCAGTCACTAGGAGATGGCACTGCCTGTTGTCTGGATACATGACCTCCATCCACTCTCTCTCCTTGGTTGAACTTAGACTCAGGAAAAATTGGGATAAATTATTACAGCACTGCTCCAATGTTAGGTTATTTTACCATGTGCTGATTGAATTGAACTCATTTCTACTACCACACTGTGTCTATCACAAAGTTTGGATTTAAAACCACCGATAGGCTCATGGATCTGGGCATCAGAGAATCAAATAGCATTATAAGACTGATTTGGATGAAGGAAGGCTCCTCTACCCATTAGTTCTCATCCTTCCAGAATATTCACTTCACCGTCTTCCAATCACAACATCAGACTGCATTTTAAAATTAGTCCAATGTCCTGGCTCAACCGTACTTCCTGGCATCTTGT